CTGAAACTAGTGATGTGTTTTTTAGTATGTATCTCCAACCTATTCTGTGCATATCTTTCGTCACAGATAAGTAAAAAAGTGTGATAGGTACTCATAGAAACAAAAAATTGTTAACATTGCACATTTTGGAAAAAAAATAGTTTTATTTACTTAACTTTGAAAGCCGTTTATAATATATATATACATAGAAATCTTAACTATCAGTTGCAGTTTTAATTGCTTAATAAATATTACAATCTGACTAATTCATAAGCAGAACTGTCACAGGCCTACAGTCTTTAAAGACAGCTTATTAAGAACGGCTTAGATTGCTTCTTAATTAGCAATCTAAAAATGAAGCACAGTTCAAAACTAACAGGAATGACAGGAGTGAGAGAAGCTATGAGGCCATTGGTGAAAGCAAAAATTTCGAAGCTCAGACAAACCCAATTTAAATTAATTAATAAATTTCATAAAAAATAAATTCCATAAAATTGGCATCCAATTCAACTGGTAATGAAACCTGAGAGTTCCTTGCTGATTATATAGTCTGTTTTACTACTGAATACTACGTTTTATATACTGAATACATTACGAAATTTCAGATGAATTCCGACCAAAATGAAAACTTTGTTTGACGTCAATGCCGCATTTTAAATACGTCTACTAAATATTTGTCTGCCTACTGACCTCAGTAAGCAATGGGGATACCGGTAACCTAATAAGCTAAAATACGTCGGAAATAATAACAGTTTTATGCATCCGTATTGAATATCTGTGGCTGTGCAGGCGACCGACATTTCAAACTGTGGTATGTGCTGTTACTTTTTCAGTAGTTACGATGAACTTCGTCAAATAATCATTTGCACTAACTTAACTATTTAATAAGAGCGGTATGTGTGGCCAATCATTACCAGCGCAACTGCATAAAAAATCAATCTTGTGCAATAGCACAAAATTCTTGACTTTGACTTTAGTGAAGAAAACAGACATCTCCAGGCAATTCAGATTATTTTAGGTGCTAATGAGGAGTAGTGTGAACTCGTGATCTCTAACATCTAGTATTAGAAATAGTATTATAAAACATATTAGAGCGTGCGAAATTACGTTTCAATGGGTCGATTTGCATTATCAATTTTAATATTGATAGATCCATTATTACTAAAGACGTTTATAACCTGTCATGATGGTTAAAGCAATCATTGATATCAGTTTATCTCTATAAATCTTTATCAATTTATATTACCACAAGTGAAGTCATAAACCATATACTATTTCTTCTACCAAAATGAGCAAGTTTTATAAGATCTGGCTGGTTTCATTTTACAGACAATTTCTTCAGAGTAATCTTTTTGAACTAAGAATTCAACTATTCCTTATATTTATTAGTCATAGACAAAAAGAAGGGAGTCCACCAATAATCATTGTTTGTTACACCTAGAAACCCTAGATAGACAACCATACAGTTTCACCATGGTTTACTTTGTGAAGAGGAATATATCATTAACTCAATGTGGCTACTAAAGATCAATCCTAATGGGAAAAAGTGAAGTACTGGACATAATCTATGCAGAAATTAACAAAGCTATGGAAACTTAAATAAAAGATAAATCTCCAGGAATGGACAGCATTCCCAATGAGTTCCTTATAAGAAACAAATATGTCCTACCTAATACCAATTTTCAAACACTTTTTCAATGAAATTAAATTAAACTAAAGAAAGAAATCATAACATAGTAATCATGTCGGCAACAAGTAAGAGCCCGCTGAGGATGTTAATTGATTTAGGTGGAGAAAGCCACAATGCATAATTAGTACATGTAGCCACAACGCAGAATTAGTAAATGTACATACATACAACTAAAGCTATATGACGAACCAACAACCTATCATGATCAATACTAACCTTATTAACTATGTCAATCAATTCAAATACTTGGGTCTAACAATTTCTCCTTCAAATCTAACCATAGAAATTGACAGCCACTACAAATGCTTGGAAGGGTAATTCTTTGTTCTTTTTACTTCTGCGTTGTTGACCTTAACATAATAATCTTTAAAAATATAAAATCATCAAACTGAATATATTTAAATTCTTGTTATTATGTCATTGCTTGATTTAAATAATTTGGTATTTTAGTAAAATTACCAATAGTAAATTATATTTTTCTACAGAAGTCCAACAACACAGAAAAATAAAGAATTAAAAAAGAACAAAAATTAATATTCGCCTAGAAACAACATTGGAGCATAAGAAAAATTATGAAAAACAGTGAAATAGGCATACTTATCAGAGAGAATCTTTTTGATATGTGCATACTAAAGAAGTATGATGAGCAAAAGATTATCAGAAACAAATAAGAGTTGCAACCAAAAAGTTTCGTAGAATTTAAAACATCGGATTTAGAGGAGAGAAGTGGTTAATATTGGTCATGAATTAGTTCACAAGGGACAGAGATAGAAAAAGAGGTAGGCCATTTAGATTATGAGTAGATATAGGTGACAGGTGACACATTAACCCGAAGGAGACGGCGGAGCGGGACCGGGAAAGGTTTAGAACTCTCCCGGCCCGCCAGGCCCGGGCAGGGGCCAGGCAGCGCAGGCGACTCAGGCGCCGGAGGTCGCAGAACGACCTCCGTCCTCCATAAGCGCAGGCCTGGGGGTGACAGGTGAGGCCATCTGTCACCCTAGCAGAAGCAGGCCGGGGTGGCGGCGAGCGCGTTGCGAAGCGCGCTCGCTTCCAGGGAGCACAGGGAACATGGGGTTCCCACACGGGGCGGGGGTCGTCTACTCGTCTGTAGATGACCCGAGGTATGTCGGGGCACCAGGGCCTTCCTTTCTAGGGTATACCTGGTTCCCCGGCTATTAGTACCCGGCGAAGGCGTGCGGTTTTAGTCGGTTCGAGTCCGACATGCCACCGACAGGTGGTATCCGAGGGGATTTCCGCACGGAAAAAAAAAAAAAAAAAAAAAAAAAAAAAGGTGACACATTAACAAGAATGCCTGAGAGAAATGGTTGGCTGAGGCCTTTGTCAACTAGAGAATATAGACAGGGAGTTGTGCTTCATACATTCTTTTATTTCTTTAGCGATTGTAACTAAAATAATATCTTAATAAAGGCTATCATCTTAAGCATCCAAAAATATATTGGTATACTTATTTTCCAAAATTATATAGACTCTTATAAACCAAATATATCTATGAAAGATCATGATGTCAGACATCATAAGCACCAGTATGTGTCAATATTTCATAAATATCTATTCAATCAATTTCCTTTTAAATGTGTATGCATTTACTTATAATTTACAATAGTGTACTGTTGCGAATACAAGTAAAAAGCTAGGGAGGGAATAAATACACAATCACCTGTGATAAATTATGATTTATAAATCATATAATGATGCCTGTAACTAATTTACAATACCACTGTGACTTATTATTACTTTGAATGACTTTGTTTATTTGTAGTTTTTTGTTAAATTGTTTCAAGTTGTTCATAGAATTGGTAAACCTATTTAGTATTTGTTAATAAGAAGTTTATTTATAGAGTAGGTATAGGTAATTTAACTTTTAAAGAGTATGACGTGTACATATTAATTCATAGGTTCATAAAATTTCATGACTACAATTAATTTGCCAATTGAGAATTGACAATTAATTACGAGTGTGAAGACTAATTATTCCATCACTAATCATATGTGCTTACAGTAAGGCAGCCCTCAAAAAATTATATATTTTTTATTATATTTTTATTTTATACCACATTCATAAACACCGCCTAGTTCTAAACTAAGCAGAGCTTGTACTATGGGTACTAAGACAACTGATATGAATACATACATACTTTTTTTTGTAAATACAAACATATTATGCATAGAAACACCCAGACCAAATCAAACATTAAACGTTCATGCACACAAATGTTTGACTTGAGCGGGAATTGAACCTGCGACCTTTGGAATAGCAGTCTGTTACACAAACCTCTACTCCATCGGGTCATCACATATAACTTCACTTGTAGTCTGGGCATGCGTGACACCTTTTTCTTACAAATTGACAGTGAGCTAACCAGGTTTTTGATATTAAATTTGTTATAAATATATTACAAAATACAAATAAATAGGTTGCCTGCCCTAAATTGTTTTTAAAATGATGAAATACTTTTACGAAACCCTAGATTAGTTTCCATTTTCTAGAATAATTTAGAAAAAAAGGGAAATTGTGAAACATTTCTATGTATAATAAGTATGTATTTACAAAAAAAAAGTGTAATGTATTTGTATCAGTTATCTAGTAGTCATAGTACAAGCTCTGCTTAGTTTGGGACTAGATGGTGTTGTCTGAACGTGGTAGAATATTATTATTATTTGTGTAAATTGTGTAAAATCCCACACAATATTTATGTTTGACAAAATCTTCCTCAATAATATAGGCTGAACTGATGGTTTTTTTTATACCTACTGTTCGGTTACAGTTTAAATAGATTTATAAGTTATTTTAATATTTAATATGGTATGTATATACCATATTAAATATTAATTGCATATGCAATAGTTCTATAAATACAAGATTTTTCACAAATTACTCATAAGAACGCATTACAGTATTTTAACTACAATGAATATTTAAATACTAATTACTTTTACCAATATCCTTGAATTTTTACCTCAAATGAAAAGTTACAGACAACTGACAATTTTGGTGAAAATTACCTGGTCGTCATTTGTATAAACTACGACGACAAAATTATATCGAGACAAAAGTGTAAAATATAAATATATACATAATACGTTAGATAAAATGAATACAATTTGACAAAGTATTATCCTTCGCCATTTTCAACTACCTACTTTTTTATTTATATAGTAACTACTCAGTATTGTTTAGTCCATAAATTCAAAAAATTTAAGATTTAGACAGACAGCTATTAAAAAAAGCCATTAGTTATATTAATTGGTAAATAGATATTTAATCATCTAAAAATATTTTAAAATCAAAAAATGGCAGGGATCGACTTACCTCAACTTCTACGGCTGTAACCGTATTTGTTGATTTGTGGTCAGAGTTAGTGTGCTGCTCATTAACTAGATTGTGTAGGAGTTTTGAATCTTCAGTGGAAATACTTGAAGCACTTTTATCCGGGGCTTTGGGTTCCTTATCATACTCCGGTGGAGGAGCCATCTTGAAGGAAGAGCAGTCAGATGACACAAGTCGTATGACTTTCGCACACCAAAATCACTCTTTACCCCGTCAAAATATCTTTCCCAATTACTAACTACTAAAACCAACCATGATGAATATTTTAACTACGACATAATTAAAGTTCTAACCATTTGCAGAAAGGAATTCATCATTTTCGACAGTTTCCGACCAACATTTTCAATGACTACAAGAACGCCCTCTAGTGACGTGAATTCCTACTAAAAATGTCACAGATAAGAATAGATTAAATTGACAATAGAGTAAGAGGAAGCATAAGTACAAACTGGCCAGGATGAAACTCACAGTTCACACCTGCGCGGCTGAGGTGCCGTCACGGACCTATGAAAATTATTGTCACTTTATTGCTCTCTAAAGTGTTTTTTTATTATTTCAATATATGCTAGTTAAATGCAATATATAAATACTGCATTATCGAAAAACAAAACGAGGCACACACATCACATCAACAGCCTTTATAGTACACTTCAGACCATAGGACTCTCCTTAGAAAGGAGGTTTTGGCCTATTATATCATGCTGGCCAGACGGGTTGGTATAGGGTTTGTGTCAAGTTTTCCTGCTCTTTGCAGTGCTGGTTGTCCTACTTTAGCTCCGGGATGAATAGGGGTGGTGATACTCCGTATTCTTATTCCGTCCATATATTCATCGGTCATATATTTAATCAAGTTCATATGTTTTGTTTAACAATTTTATATCATTATTTTTCTAAGTTGTTTTTACCTAGGGATTGTGAGGTGAGCTTTGCCGTAATACTAGTTAATACTAATAGGTCATGATGCACAAAGACCATACATATAGACAGACAGACAAGATGCATAATTACTTCACAAATACAAAAATACTCAGGCCACCGGTACTTAGGCTGACTTCAAATTCATAATATGTATGAAAATCATCATATATACGAAAAATAAAGGTGTCTAAACGCATAAAAAAGAAACAATATTAATAATATTTTAAAATAACATAATGCCATCTGTTAAAAACATAATGCCATCTAGTTTCAACCTAAGCAGAGCTTGTACTATAAAAGCTAGACTGACTAATACAATACTTATGTACTTTTTTTTAGACCACACCCAAACTTAAAAACAAATATTTGCCGATTATACAAATTGATAATACAATTGATCTCAGCACAGAAGTTAAAGCACCTTTTTATTTGCTTATCTACCACTGCACCACTCGCACACTGCTCGAATCAAATTGTTAGATACTACATAATGAAAAGATCTAATAGATTTAATTTGGTGAATACTCGCCTATTCAGCGAAATAACCGGTTACTCACGAAAATTCTACGGTTTCTTCACTTCGACGAAAAGTTGCAGCTCTAGTCATGTCATAGAATTTAAAAAAATAAAGCTGTTTCCGCTATATAGACGGGAGCGTTTTATTCAGGGTCTGTCAACTTTGTTCTTAGAACAAGATGTAGGTGGGCTTGAAAACAAGAAAGAGACAACAACATTAGAGTAAAAGAGATGAATTATAAAATGTTGCCACCAAAAATACAATTTCGTATTCTCCAAAACAATGAGCTAAAAAAGAAAGTCACCCTTAAAAATACATTTTGTGATTATGCTGATACCCAAAAAAATTATTTTGCTAAGAAATATAACATATTTAATTGATCAATACACAAAAACAAAAAAAAGATAAGGGGGAAAATGTGTGGCAACTACTGGCAACACGTTTGACGTCACAAGAAAAATGTCTGCCTGCGGTTCCCGCACCATTTTATCTTGTACCTATGTTTATTTGTAATAAATAAACTAGTTGCATTTAATTCTACATACATTGTTACCGTGAGTCGAGTTTGCTCCTCCGTGGCTGTGTTTTGGTGAAATTAAGTGTGTGTTTGTGAGATATAGACTCGGTGTTGAGATAGTGACTTGTTTGATTGTGTGTTTAATTTTCGCAATGAGTTCGCAGAAAGAAAACACTAGAATCTGTTGCATGTGAGGATCTTCACCTTCTAAAGATTCCAGCATCACTTTGCATCGGTTTCCTAAGCCTGGCTCAAAAAATGCTCTGCGGTATGTACCTACCTAAGTACTTTCCATGCTATTCGTTTACATCCTTTAAATCTCTTTCAATCAAAGGAAATACAGAAAGTTTAGATTGTTATTTAGATAAAACTTAATTAAAAATATGATTATTAACCCTTTCCCCCCGGGGTAGTGATTTTTAACAAATTTTCGCTTTTGAACTTTATTTACATAATAAGGTAAGTAAAACGAAACGCACAGATTTTTTTAGATTTTTATTATACCTAGAAGTACTATTTCCAAGACCTAGACTTAAAAGTGCCGTCAGGAACTTCGTGTTATCACAATGTTAGGAACTTGGATAGAAACTACAAAATAATGAGATCCAATATTGACTTAGTAATAATTAAATTATTAGGTTTTTAATTACAGATTAACCTCATGGTATTCAACAAAACAATTTTTCTTCTCATTTACACACAAAAACACGTTGCAATGCGAACATTTACTATGAGGTTTCGACTGAACCTTATTCAAGCTACAAACTTTACACCTTCCCCTGTTCTCTACGAATGTAGACCAATGGATGCCTCTGTTACCCATACATATAGAATAGTCAGATTTGCGCCTTTTTGAAGGGTCGCCATCCGCAGTATTATCAGTAGAAGTCTTTCTATTCTGATTAGCATTTTTCATTGTCAGTCTCTGGGCATTTGGACATTTATCATTGCAATGCAGATGAGATAAAATAATTTAATTTCCTTTTTAATTTTAATTTCGTATTTTATTTTTTAATTTTAATTTTTTTTTAATTTCCAGGTGTGAATTATGGGCAAAGTATTGCTTTCCATACAAAGCCTGGTCTTCACCAAAATTCCAGGATGAACTCCATGCAAAACATAAGATGCTTTGCAGCAAACATTTTGAAAGCACATGCTTTATTGAGAAGAAGTTGTTCAGAACAGCTGTACCTGGTGTTCAATGCCATAAGGTTAGTACAATTAATACTTTAAAAGTGTATTTAAAGCTATTTACATTGCAGAGAAATACAGACTTTATGTTATGTGTAACACATAATATTATGTAGCAGAATGATGTTGTTAACATTAAATTTAAGAAAACTTGGGCAATTACAAACATGCAAAATGAGTCATAAATTTAGATGGAATTTGGTATGCAGATACTTTGATTCTTGAGGAAAAACATGCAACTTTTTACTGCGATAACCGACACTTACGCGGAGGGAGTGCATTTTTACCGCGATGACCGACATTTACGCGGGCGGAGCCGCGGGCAGAAGCTAGTTATAAATATTTCTTATATATATAATTTGCTTACCTCAACTATGACTTACATTAATTTAAGGATTTAAATTAATTTATTTAAAATAAATATGTTAACCTTTAACTTTCAGGACACAACAATTTCTAATCTGCCAGATCAACCTGCCATATTTGAACCTGTTGCCGGTTCATCCAGAATTAATCCTTTAAGAGAACATAATGCAAACATTATCACTCCAACCAGTTGTTCAGGAATGATTGTGTGCGAGTCTTCAAAACAAGAAGGAGATAAGAAAAACAAAATGTTGATAAGGAAACTGAAAAATAGTATGAACAAAGTATATAGATTACAAAAAACTGTAAAATATTTAAAAAATGAAGCATTTTTAAATGAAATCTCCAACAATGAAACAGTAAAAAAAATCCTCAATAAAAAAATGAGTTCATCATTTGCCCTGTTACTGCAAGGAGAACTGCAGAATTATAAGAGGAAGAAACCTGGACGCAGGTGGAACATGGAAGCTAAAATAATAGCATTGAGGCTCTATAAAAGGTCACCAACATGCTACAAGTTATTGAGGAGAATGATTTGTTTACCAGCACCCAGCACATTAAAATCCCTCTTAAGCAGATTTAGGATGAATGTGGGGATACACAAAACAACACTTACAATGTTGAAAAAGATGACAAAACATTTTGGGCCATCTGAACGAGAGTACATATTGTTGTGGGATGAAATGTCATTAAGAAAAAATTTATGGTACAACTCTAAGTCTGATCAAATTGAGGGTTTTCAAGACCATGCCACACAAGGTAGATCTCCACAGGCAGCTTCATATGCGCTTGTATTTATGGTGGTTGGAGTTAGGAAGCCAATTAAACAGCCAGTGGCTTATTACCTATCAAGTGGATTTGTCACAGCTGACAGACTATCTGTTTTGATTAAGGAGGTATGCATTTCTTCTTCATTTTGAAAGATGATCATGCTTATGTTAAATAAGCCAAGTTACTAATCTGCCTTAAAAAAATTTCAGGTTTTAAATTGTTGCTTTAATGCTGGCCTTAATATATGCGCTTCAGTTTGTGACTTGGATGGAGTCAACAAGAAAGCTCTGTGTCTATTAGGAGCTTCTGTAGAGAATCCCTATATAGAAGTGAGCAATCACAAAGTAGTCACACTATTTGACACACCACACTTGCTGAAGTGCTTCAGAAATCTGTTCATGAAATATGATGTAAAGTTTATGACCAATATAACATCAGACAACAAACAAGGAATTGGTAAGTCATTGTTATTTAGTTTAAAAAAAGTGTTTAATAATATGTATGTAGTTTATACTTAACTACCTGACCTGCGCAACTTCGTCTGCGTCTTTCAATAGTAATAAATTTTCTCCGTTTTTGAAACATTCTTTATTGGTGCTCCGCTCCTATTGGTCTTAGCGTGATGATATATAGCCTATAGCCTTCCTCGATAAATGGGCTATCTAACACTGAAAGAACTTTTCAAATCGGACCAGTAGTTCCTGAGATTAGCGCGTTCAAACAAACAAACAAAAAAAATTTTCAGCTTTATAATATTAGTATAGATAATTTTACTTTTAATAATTACTTTACAGGAATCGCTAAATGGAGCCACATCAGACAATTCTATGAACTGGACAATAATAATCCCAATTTTGTTTATGCACCACTCTTAACTAAAGAACACGTTGACCCCAATACCAAGCAAAAAATGAGGGTAAAACTTGCAGCACAAGTTTTAAGCCACTCAGTTGCAGCAGGAATATTTTCCAAAATAGCTAAAGGTAAGAGACATCTTTAATAGTCATGGTCCAACTCATTTATACACACACATCATAATTATTATGCATGATACTTATGCACATTTAACAACAAGTCTTACAAATTCGTTTCAACAGTATGAAAATGTGGGGTTGTCTCTTTTATAAATGGTGAAACTATCTAATAATTATATTGTCATATTATATTGTACTTATATTGATTTAATTTGTTTATTGTGAATTTTCAGGAGACATGCCGGCTGGAGCAGTGGCAACGGGTAATTTAATTAAAGACATGGATGAACTGTTTGATGGAGTAAACGCGTCGACATCAGATTTAAGAAGAGGAAAAAAATTTTCCACAAATATAAAAAAATCCACAGAACATCTGCAAATGTTCAATAAAATGAAATATTTTTTTAAAACCTCTGAATTTTTGGGATGCAGGGGTAATCCACCATCAAAAAATGGGTGGATCTGGACCCTCAATGGGATAGAAACGATTTGGAGAACCCTTAGTACCAAATATAAATCCATCAAAAGTCTGTCTACAAGAAGACTCCAGCAAGACCCGTTGGAAAATTTATTTGGTTGCATACGCTACAATTGCGGGTCCAATAGCAACCCGACAGTTGGACAATTTGTTGCTGGCTTAAAAACTGCTGTAATGAGCAACATGGCACACACTAGCTCAGGGAATTGTGAGCTGGATAGCAACAGTGCTATTATATCAAATTTTAAAAAATTGCTGACATCATCTGCAGACATATGTACTGATACAGAGCAATCCGAACATGTAAAGGAAATAGTAAAAGAAATTGAAGAAAGTATAACTTCCTCTCTCGAAGAAAACTTGGAGGAAGGAAGTAGCGAACTACAAGCATGTGCATATGTCTGTGGCTTCATTATTAAAAAAATAAAAAATAATTGTAATAAGTGTATGAAAATTCTAGTCTCCGAAACGCCAGAGGGAGTGCATAATTTTATAGAGTTCAAAAATTATGAAAATCCAAAACAATCGCTTACATACGCCTCAAAGAATTTAATAGCTTGTGTAGAGAAAAGTGCAAGCATAATAAATATATTTTTAGAAAGAGAGGCGTATAAAGAGAATATTAAAGTGAAAATAACACAAACATTAAAGGACTCTATAAATTATGATTTTCTCGAAGATTGCGTGGAGCACAAAGAATTAAATATAACATACATAATCAATAGTGTCTTCCACATTACAATTAAGAGGTACTGTATCCTAAAAAACAGAATGTTTTCTGAAGAGGCGAGTAAATCAGCATTAAAAAGAAAAATGAACATAATTATGCATAAATAAATGTACAACTAGCACTGCCCATGAATTCATCAGCCTGAATTTTAGACTTTTTCATTTTGAATGATGAAAGAAATTTTTTTTTTTTTTGATTAATTTTATTATATTCTATGATGATCATGCTTATGTTAAATGAGCTAAGGTTTTAATAATCTGCCTAAAAAAAATTTCAGGTTTTAAATTGTTGCTTTAATGCTGGCCTTAATATATGCGCTTCAGTTTGTGACTTGGATGGAGTCAACAAGAAAGCTCTGTGTCTATTAGGAGCTTCTGTAGAGAATCCCTATATAGAAGTGAGAACATCAGACAACAAACAAGGAATTGGTAAGTCATTGTTATTTAGTTTAAAAAAAAGTGTTTAATAATATGTATGTACTTTATACTTAATAATTTTACTTTTAATAATTACTTTACAGGAATCGCTAAATGGAGCCACATCAGACAATTCTATGAACTGGACAATAATAATCCCAATTTTGTTTATGCACCACTCTTAACTAAAGAACACGTTGACCCCAATACCAAGCAAAAAATGAGGGTAAAACTTGCAGCACAAGTTTTAAGCCACTCAGTTGCAGCAGGAATATTTTCCAAAATAGCTAAAGGTAAGAGACATCTTTAATAGTCATGCTCCAACTCATTTATACACACACATCATAATTATTATGCATGATACTTATGCACAGTTAACAACAAGTCTTACAAATTCGTTTCAACAGTATGAAAATGTGGGGTTGTCTCTTTTATAAATGGTGAAACTATCTAATAATTATATTGTCATATTATATTGTACTTATATTGATTTAATTTGTTTATTGTGAATTTTCAGGAGACATGCCGACTGGAGCAGTGGCAACGGGTAATTTAATTAAAGACATGGATGAACTGTTTGATGGAGTAAACGCGTCGACATCAGATTTAAGAAGAGGAAAAAAAATCCACAGAACAGAACATTTTTTTATATTTGTGGAAAAATGATAATCAGGAGATAGTACTATTTGCGGATGACACTTCACTGTTATTTAAACTTAAACGACAGCAATCAGTAACTGATGTCGTGATTAGCACTCTCTCTAAGGTTGTAAACTGGTTTAATGTTAATAATTTACTTTTAAACGAGAATAAAACGAAATGTATTAGATTTTTTACACCTAATGTTAAACAGGTAAAGACCAATGTTCTAATAAATGGAAAGGAGTTGAATCTTATGGACACCACCAAGTTTTTAGGTATAACACTAGACTCTAAATTGCAATGGGGCCCACACATTGACGGATTGTCGAATAGACTCAGCTCTGCAGCATACGCGGTTTACAAAATTCGTCAATTAACCGATGTAGAAACAGCTCGACTGGTGTATTTTAGCTATTTTCATAGTGTAATGTCATACGGTATTTTGTTGTGGGGAAATGCTGCTGACATTCAAAGTATCTTTGTGTTGCAAAAGAGAGCTATTCGTGCAATTTATAATCTTAGTTATAGGCAGTCACTGAGGGATAAGTTTAAAGAAATTGGTATCATGACAGTCGCATCTCAATATATATATATATATATATATATATATAACAAGTTTAGCGACATGCATAAAATAAACACTAGAAATAAAGATAAACTCGTGTTATCAACCACTAGACTACAAAAAGTAAGCAAGTCTTTTCATTGTCAGGGTGTGCGATTTTACAATAAAGTGCCAAGCAAATTCCATGAATTAAGTATTAATAAATTTAAGTCTTTAGTAAAGCTAAAACTATGTGAAAAGGCTTACTACACTATTACAGATTATTTAGACGACAAATTTGCTTGGGATTGATGCTGCTCACTCCCACATTTACGTAGACATCTTTGTTGTTAAGTTTGAAAGTGATGGACATTTAATTATTATTTTGTGGTGTATTTCGTATTTTGTTTTCGTGTTTTATTTTTCGTTGACTTTGAACTGTATAGTATTTTTTTATTTTTTGTGTAAGTATGTAAATGTGAGTACAGTGTAGGCTTGTAATGTTAATTATTTTTTATTATCTTTCTGGTGGTTTTGAGTGTTTCCACGGCCTACCCAAATGTCCTGCTGGCGGTAGTGTCATGCTTCGGGTCGTTGATCTTGACCAATATCGGTTAGGCTACACGATGGCTGGAGCCTGTATGCCGTCTGTATGGACAGGTTGACTCAAAACTATGATCCTTTCCTCAAAAGGCCTATCCAGACCCTATACTGTACTCGCACAGTTTTAATTAACTTTGTTTACGGACTTAAAAAAAAAGAAAGACACCTCTGTGGTTTGTTTCGGTGTTTCTTCCCAGAGTGAGTCTTAGGAAATGCCGGCTCCTAGCTATAAAGTCCGACTTGTAAAAATATCTGAAAAGATTTACTTACAGAAATAAATATCATTTCATCATTTCATTTCATTATAGGCTGATTGTGCTTTATTTATTATTTTACAACTTGTTTTATTAATGGACGATAGTGTAGCTAAATTGGTCAGATCTGTCTACCTTCAACAAAAATAATAAGTATCTCTCTTGTTAACCATTTCTTTATTTATTTTATTAAACTGAAATAATACATATTATATAAAATTATGATATATGTCTGTAAAGTGTAAACTTGTGTTTGACCTTGTCTAGGTTTTTGATGTTAAAATTGTATGCAATAGACCATATGGTCGAAGATGCTTGCTGTATTTTCAAATTGTATGTATTATCTCATTTTTAGAATATTATGTTTAATTTGTGTTTAGATTAAGCGACAAATTTTGTGATTAATTATCATTACATACACGCCATGTCAGAGGCCTGTGGGATTCCCAGAGGCGACTTAATAAGCTCTGACACTAGAGGGTGGCCACAACACACGCAAAAAAATTACATACACATACTTGTGAACACCTTTTGTCCCAAATGAATATATAATCCAAAAACACATTTATTCATGTAAAATTAGTATATAGTTGCTTATAATATGAATATCTGATAAATTATAATGAATATTATGCTAAATAAAAAAGTCAAATACTAATGTTTCTTTTATTACACTGTTCCATAAATATTGCTTTCAGCATTTTATGCACAAGTACAGTGTGTTTCTCGATAGTGATGTCGTTTAGATGTCAATTGTTTTTGCTGAGAAATAATTGACCATCTTGATGAACACTATCGAGAAACGCACTGTACTTGTGCATAAAATGCAATACAAAGTATCTGTTTTGAAATTCCCGCCCTAGCTTCTACTGTCTAGTTTTGGTGGGCGGAGCATAGATGGCGCCGGCCGGTAAGGAAAAATTTCCTCATAAAAATAGTATGGAGTCGTTATTCTTCCCCTTTAGGGGTATATATGTTCTGTGGTTTTATTACTAAAGTTTGTGTTTTAAAAATTAATTAATTTACTATAAAGTATATAAAATGTCGGAAAGTAAAGAAAATATTTTTCTCTTTGTGCCTAATATCATTGGTACGTTAATATTTTTATTGAATCTTCGATATTTACATTTCTGCAATTAATAATGATTGTTTGTATTTTAATGAGCAAATTACATGTTTCAGGTTTTGGGCGAGTGATTCTGGCTATAATCTCGTTCTATTTTATGCCTACACATTGTGTATTAGCGTGTGTTTGCTACGTTACTTCAGCATTACTCGATGCAATTGATGGACATGCCGCAAGATACTTTAATCAAAGTAAGCCATCTTATAAGGCATCTTTTAATTAAATTGAGTCATACTCTTCAAATATTAGACTAAAATATACCTTTACCTTGTTTTTTTTGGGCTATCGGAATTTATTGCTGTCATAAAATAAATAGCAAGACTTAGTTTTGTTTAATTTGTCTCTTACGCAAATCACTCTGTCACTAATTGAATCATACACCTGTAGAATTCAGATATACGATATGGAATATTACATTTTTTAATTGTACTACTAATTAAATTGAAATCAAAAATATTATTACTGTCATTTTGTGCTATTAAGCTTTATGAAAGTATTTTTCTTTAAAATGTCAATAACCAAAACATTCAATCCTAAGTATATTTTAAATTAATCACACTTATGTTGTGTGCAAAGGGACAAATAAATAAACTGTAGAATTTAATTTTAATATTGTCATTTTTATGAAAATAGATTTGTATGAGATAAATAATAGACAATTAATTTAATTTCAGTAACAAGTTAAAAATAATAATACAAACCATCTCTTTGTAGGCACAAAGTTTGGTGCAATTTTGGACCAACTTACGGACCGTGCTGGGACTGCATGTCTTATGATGACCTTGGCAACTTTTTACCCACAGCATACCTTTTGGTTTCAAATATCTATGGCTATAGATATAACTTGCCATTGGCTCTACCTCCACACAGTGACCCTTCAAGGAAAGGCTTCTCATAAGTTCATTGATATGTCAGAAAACCCCATCATGCGCATATATTACACAAATAAGATGGTCTTGTTTGCAATGTGTGCTGGCAATGAAGCATTCTATGCTGCGCTATATGTCATGTACTTTTATACTGGGCCAACAGGTATGTAAAATAATCTGTAGTTCTTCTAAGGTTTGATCATAAAATTTAGACTACACTTCCCTTTCTTTCTATTATGTACTGTTGATTTGTCCATCCAAAGGCTACCTGTAAGAGATTGCTTTTAGCAATAAGGCTGCCTATTGTAAATATTTTTTTGTTGTATCCATGTATCATTGTGTAATTGGTGTGCAGTAAAGTATATTCTATTCAATTTATTGTGGTATCAGCATGTAGTAAAGAGAGTTTGTTTAGAAGTTGGGTGATACAAGAGTAGAATATTACCAAAGAATAGATGGATAGACTGTGTGAAAGAGGATGTGGCTAGTAAGTAGTGAATTGATTAATGATAGAGTAGAATAGAAAAAGGAGAACAGGTCCCGAGTAAGTTTGATAAATGTAATGACCCAACTGTCGAAACTGACACTACAGACAATCTAAATGAAAATTGCATTGAGCCAGTACTGTGGTATAGTACTAGTGGTACACCGCTAGATACTTTAATACACACACTCAGTCTGTTGACTGAATAAATTATGATTTCAAAACAATTTATTTTGTTTAGAAGCTCTTAAAATATGTACTGAGCCAGCATTATTTTGACTTCACCTAGACATAAGTACATGTTACATTTGTTCATTACAAACTTATTTTGCTGGTGACATCTGTAATGAAATATTTTGTTACATTAACTAAAATGACTTATTGTTCTACTTTTATTTTCCAGTTTTGGGTGTTGGTCTATTTAAACTCATTGCCATCATATCAGCACCAATAGCTGTTGTGAAGGCAGCTATATCAGTTCTCCAAGGAGTGGTTGGAGCTATGAATCTCGCCACTATTGACATCAATGAGAGAGCAGCTCTTGCTAAGAAGCAAGCAAACTAAGTACATATACTAATATCATTGCTTAATGATGTTCTTATTCTGTAAATGTAGAATATTTTAAATTTGAAGATGCTTGTGGATAGTTACAAGAGAATAATCAATTACAGAGGAAGAAGTCATAAATTTATCACCAAATTATGCATTTTAAGGGTTTTACTTATAAAGTTATTATTAATTATTTTTAATTTAAATGCAGAAAATGGTATCTGACCTTAAAAAATGTTATGTATATTATATCATGGTATTAATCTGTTAAAAAGATATTTAAAAGTATGTACTGCAATGATAAGTCTTAACAAATCAACCTAGTCATTCTGAGTTATAAAATTAGATTTTATCATTATGTTTTACTATTTTTGACCATTTCCTATATTGATTTTCGAACAAAGGTTTTTTTAGGTAATTGTCCTAAGTAGTACCTATATTTATCCAGGACATAAAAATTGGTATAATTGTTTCTACCACCACATGTTATGGTCCTGTAACACTTAAATTAGTAAAACTAGTAGTTGGTTAAGATTATGAACAATCAGCTCATCCAATCTTTGAAAAGTGTAGTCTTTCTATTGTTGCTAATTCCTTCAGTTAACTTCACATTGCAAAATAATGGGTCTCTAGTATATTTTACTTTATCTTAAATAGGTTAAGTGGATGATTCTAGCTTCACTGCAATAGTGAAGGCAAGAGATAATACATTGACACCCCATTATAATGTAATAAACAAACCTTCCCAAACAATTAAGGATTTTAGATTTAAGTATAAACACTAGGGTAATAGCCTGTAATGATAAGTATAGCTATGTATTACAAACTGATTCTAGTGTTTACGTTTTGGTCTTTTTAAAAGGTTTACTCTTTAAATATGCATGTTAATAAAAACATCTTTAATTGAGTAATAGGTATATAAATGGTTAAACAAGATTATTGTATAGTATTTTTGCTTGAACTGCAAACTTGCAATATTTTAACCCAAATACAGACTACAATTAATTAGACAACATGATTTCATTAGGGTTATTTACAGACAGACAGAAGTTACATGTAAAGGATTGGAAATAAATTGGATTGGAACTCTAATTGCTGCATTGTACCATTGTTTATTGTTTAGTTTTTATTTATTTTTACTTACTTCAATGTTACAATATCCAGATTGATTAGTTTACAGAATGTAAACACAAGTGAAGTGTAGGAAGGTTTAAAAAAGTATACTTCTGCCTCTCTTTCAAGTTTAGATAACTATACCTAGTACTGCTTTGCTGTTTTTGTTAAAAGCATTGTTATTATTTAATTTTAATAGGTACAAGGATATATTTCCGGCATCTGAGGGCACGGCAGTGCCTCCGCCAAGTCGGGCAAAAAAGCGGCACTGCCGTACCATCCTTTTCTTGAAGCAGTTCAGGCCATTTTGACCCCATATAACTTCGTTGTGGATAAAACTAGGAGCCTGAATTTTCAGTAACCAAAACAGGCATTGTATAAACACGGTACATTTCATTCAATTTGAACCGGTAGATTAAGAATTATAACTAGTCAAAATTTCTTAATCTTGTCACCCACTGACTGACTGACCGATCATCAATACTCTAAAGCACTTCTAGCAGACATAGAAGCTTCCAATTTAGAATACAATTAGTGTTTAGTGTATAAATCAAGGAAAAACTTTGTAGTCTCATATAAATGTATGTGATTACAAGTTACATTTGCAGTTAATGAATCAGTGTACCTATGTATAATATAATGGAATAATAGGTGTAGACAGGTACCTAGATATAATTATGTTAAAGGTAACTTGTAAAATGGTCAACGGAATGAAAAAGCAAGAATAGGACATGTCTTACTTATGAAGTTGTACCAAAATCCCGCCAAGTATTAATTAGGCTAAATTGCCGGAAATTGTCATGAAAGAAAGAACAATAAAAATAATAACCGCAGCCGGCGGAGGTGGCTACCCCGCGCTCTCAGAAAGGCTGCTTCTTTCTTCCCGGCAAGCTTTGGGTCTTACTGCGATATCGCAGGTATACACACAAACCACGTTTTATTTATCTTACGCACATAGTATCAGTCAGTATGAGTATAAAAATTTAAATATTCTCTATATAAATCTAATTCTATATAGAAATAATCGGTTAAGTCATTTATTCAGTTCAGTAATCTCATTCACTAAGTAATCCGAGTACGTCAGTGAGCGCCGTACATTAGTTCAAGTTAATCCTCTATTAAGCTTAATGTTCTTTTTATTCAAGAAGTAGAAGGTACCGGGCAGGAAAAAAGTAGGACTATCTACAAAAAGAAATGAGATGCCATCAAAAACAAAACTTATAAAAAACCAAGTCTCGCAACTCTGTTCTACCGTAAAAGCGTTGAGATCCATAAAATACTAAGTCGGTTACTTTATTAAGTCCCTACTTAAGGGACCTTGTCTTAAGTTATTACGTAATTAGCTAACCTAACAACATCATATAATGACCATATCAATATTGAAAAATATTTGATGTTTTAAATATAATAGATTAACTTGGCCATCGCATGAAAACACAATGTATCTCACAAGTATTACATATTCTATTAAATAAGATTGTAACTATATGATGTTGTTAACTAATTAAAGTTTTTACGGTATAAGAACTGAGTTGCGAGACTTTTTTTTTTTACAAGTTTTGTTTTTGATGGCACTAATTAATTTACTATTCATGTCTATGGTTCCCGTACTGTATAGCGTTAACTCCACAAATTTGCCGCCGCAATTTTAGAATTATGTGTTTAACTTTTAGCAATGAACTCTGAATTAACCAAATATAAGACTCCGGTCAGGCTATGCCTGATCCGAGCCACTTGCTGTACCGACTCGGCATCGCATCGCAATCCGGCGCTTGAAGCCGTACTTTGTTGAGATTATTGAAAACAGTTAAAAATTTTGAGAAAATTAACAGGTACTGCATCCTCATTAAAATAAGTTTTGACCACGGCGTTTGCAGCAAAACATTTTTAACTCCTGTGTCAGAGTACACCCATCAATAGGTGGTTATATTTTAGGGGGGTTAAAACATAAATAATAGATCTCGAAAATATTACATATTATCAAAGTGCATTGTGATTAATAATAATAATAATTGTATTTTATGTTGACTTAATAAATGTTTAAAAAATAAAACAAAGTATTTTATTAGTACTCATTAATTATAGATAATTAATAATATTTGTTTTATTGAAAGAAAAGCGCTCTGCTAACATAAGTTTCATTAATAAATGCAAAACAAGTTGCTTTTGCAAAATGAAATGATGCTTAAAGTAACATTTCTGAAATTAAAAGCGAATATTTATCAAGGAAGAATATAGAATAAAGCTTGTTACAAATTATCCCTTCAAACTGCTCATTCCTGCTCTCATGATCTCGTCAACGAGAAGAAGATTGCTAGCAATAACGGAACAGGAGTTAATAATCTGCTTTTTGACAACATAATTGTCAATAATACCTAGGTCTGTGGGCTTAATAGCCTCACCTGTACTCAAGTCTAGACCTATAGGGTCAGGGTTTAAACGTGATTCTTCCTGCAATTTCACAATTGTATCCTGAGCATCGTAACCGGAGTTAACTGCGAGAATTTTTGGTATGACCAGTAATGCCTCAGCATAAGCTTGAATACCGAGTCTCGCCTTGCCCTTGACAGTGTCTTTATATTTTTGTAACTCCATGTTGGCTTTAATCTCGAATGCACCAGCTCCTGGAATCACACACTTATCTTCGATAGCATTGTTTATAGCTCGAAGTCCATCGCGGACAGCATCCTTGATCTGGGTTAGTGTATGCTTGTTTGGACCTTTAATGAGGATTGTGACAGAATGAGGATTCTTGCATTGTTCAACAAAGGTGTATTTGTCTTCTCCAAGAATATGTTCATAGACGAGTCCAGCAAATCCAAGGGACTCTTCTGTAAGGTCATCCACCGAGTTCATAGCGGTACCCCCACAAGCCAAAGCCAGACGTTCCATATTACGTCTTTTGGCTCTACGTAAGCCCATGATCCCTTCCTTGGCGAAGGCATCAAGAGATAGAGGGTCAATTCCCTTCTGGTTGATGACAACGAAGGTCTTGTCGGTGCCATCGCAAAGCTTTTTTTTCAAGGCGATTATCTATAACAGAACACAAATGTCACTACTAGAATTTTATTCTATTTAAAAGAAAACACAAAACATACGAATGTTAAATAATATCATACCTTTTTGACTCTCTGGTCAATGAAGTCCCTTTCAGCCGCAACCAACTTCTCTCTGTCCTCAGCTGACTTGTAGAAGAAGCCAGAATTAACTTCTGTTTTCTCATACTCGAGAGAAATGTTGCATGTAAGAATGTAAGCATTTTCAACACGCTTTGGCATGTCGGGATGGCGCGTGCCGTGATCCAATACCAAGCCTACAAAGTGGTAATATTATAATATGAATTAATAGTGAACAAAATCAGGCTGGTCTAACCCAATTCAACTCAGTAAAATAATATGTTTTGTGAAATGATAGGAGTAAAAACAAACAATGTCTATTTATGAAGGCTTTAGTTTCAGTCAGTTCATTTTTAGGGAAGCCCTACTAGTTTCCGATGCTGATGGAGTACCTCCATCTATAGATGAATAGAAATACCATTGCAAGTCCACACATACACATGTAGGTGAAACCAAATATCTTTTATAAATTTTATACATTGTCATCTCCATGGAAGTCTTGCAATAAGGATTGATTACATAAGGATGAGTTTCATGGACCATCTACCAGTACTATTAATTATTTCTATTCATACATGAGCTCAAAACTGAGTTTATCTTGACCGCAACAATAATGACAAGCAACGGGGACACATCACTAGTAAGTGTTGCCTAAAATCATTTAGGCAACATTTTTAGCTGTAACCTAATAACTAACTTAACATTTCAAGCTTATGAAGGAAACCTAAAAAACTAACTTATTAATCAGAGAGCATGTTTAATTGGAGCTATTTCTTACTGATATAGACCAAAGCAACCAAGAAAAGGTATAAATTACGAAACTTACCCTTAACAAGAGTAGTTTCAGTGGCAGTTTTGTGCTGCATCTCCATGATCTCAACCATATGTAAGTCAACAGGTTTGTCAGGAGTACGCACTGTGAGAACTGCATCCACACAGGCATCAGACAACACATCAGCTAACTTAGCATGGACCTGATAAGAAACTTTCCCCTTACTATAATATTTGCTACAATGTTATGAAGTTCATCTAATTCTACTACTAATTTAAATGTAACTTATGAAATGACAGTAAAGAAGGAAATAAAAGAAAGTAAAGTTTTGAGTTTTTGTAAAGTGTTGTGTTATATTCACATTATCTTATAAGTTTCTATGTTCTTCATGATACTTCAACACTAAATTAGAAAACAGTCAATTTCTGTAGTAAACAAAATATTTTTATTATTTATTTTTATTTATTTAACTTAATGCACAAGTTGTACACAGGCGGACTTAATGCCCAGGGCATTCTATGCCAGTCGACCTTCGGGTGATGTAGAAAAATGATGCTGTAAGTGCAAGAGATAATAGAGAATGGGACTCATTTATATTAAATTTATTAATTTAAGATAAATCTAACTTACATACATATACTATAAATAAAATACTATATTCATTACTATATATATACATACATACTATATTATCACCAACTGCCAATGAAATGTTTTTGATTAATTTAAACATACCTTAGTCTTTAGTGATGTGCGAGAAACATCGAGTAAATTTTCACGCTTTACTTCAATAGGAATCTTAATAGAATCAAGCACGTCTAGAGCTTTAGCTCGAGCCATGTCAAACCCTTCTGTGAGAATTCTAGGATGCAGGCCTGTAAAAGTAGAAGTGAAGAGATTTTTTTGTGTCCAAATAATATTTTTCTCGTATATGTTGCACCATAAAGGATATAATATATATAGAAAAAAATATTAGTTAGACCAAAAACAAAACTTAAATTTTAATGTTTCATTTTATATACACATTTTTTTGATATAAACTGCTTCTCTCCTCTTTTCAACATAATAGAAGTCTCTTAAAAAAAATCTTGCTAGAATTACCTTCACTGATATAGATGTCAGCTTGTTTCAGTAGTTCTCCTATAAGGAGTACAGTGGAAGTAGTACCATCGCCAGTAGCGTCGTCCTGGGCAGTGGAGGCCCGCGCAATCAGCGATGCGGTAGGGTGCTGAATCTGCATCTCGTGTAGCAATACATTGCCATCTTTGGTGATTTTGATATCACCGGCGCCAGAAACCAACCTGATGAATATTACAATGATGCCAATTCAAAAAATCTAAATAATGCTAACTATTTACAAATTAATAACAGTTATGACAATTTCAACTTCTATGCGGTTCGGCAATCATGGCTACTCTCGAACAAAGTTTGTTGATCATATGACTTTTCAAATGAAAATTTATTGTTCACTGATTATTTTATGTATTTGGAATAAATGAAATTGTATATAACCGACTGAAAAATATGCGTTTCGAAGCAATTTAAAGTAATTAGTGGTATATTAAATGAGATAATAACATTTTCATTGTTCCTTTAGGCCCGAGGTTAGTTTTCATCACATCTTGAATTCCTTTTGCTGCTGAGATATTAACAGCTAGAGCTTGCGCAGCTCTCGCTAATTCAGCTTTGGGATTAAGCAGACTGATTGCGGCCATTTCTTTCAATTACTTCAAGTTTTAATTAAAAACCTAAAACACGCGGATGACCGACTGAACTATGACAAAAAATTGTCTCTTGACAGCTTTACTCTGCCAATCTTGCTTTACTTGATTAAAATACCAAATGTTACCAGAAATGGAAAAATTGTGCTTTTGTTTCATGCAGAGTAAGATTATTCTAGCAAATGGAAATTTAAAGAAAAATATTTTTTAGCGTTCCATAGTTGTCGTGCGTATGACAATATTACTGTACTCACAGAGTGAGAGAGAGGGTGTGGTACTTAAAAAATAAATAAGCAAACGAAAATTCTAACAGTATTCTAGTACAAAATGCGTATCTCAATAAATTAAGTGGTTAAACAAAAATATTCTAAAAAAATTTAATGAGTGACATCGTTATCATTACAAAAATAAGCCAGAAATCAATAGTTTTTAAAAATTAAAAACACTAGAATGATTAAGTTTTTTGATAAAGTTTAATGCATTTGATTAAGATTTGATATTTTTTCATTCACAGTTTATAAACATAAAAAAGATTAAGTTGAGCAAGATAATCACAGATTAAGAGAAATGTACAAGATAATAAATGATTGAGGACACGTTGTGTACGCTTCAGACCAAACTGCAATGAATACTTCTAAAATGTTAAATAATTATTACAGACTTGCAGATGATGAATACATGCGAATAAATTTGAATAATCATAATTTATTCTCTTTAAATGCCTAGAATTTTCTAGAATAAATTTCGCTTTCAGTAGAAATTCGTTTAAGTTTCTTCGTAAAATCCCTTTAAGCGACTGTCCGCTGTCATGAACTCATGTTGTGAGTAATTTCGCTGTCACCTATGACTGCTGCTGTCAGTTTATGTTTCCACTGAGGTACAAAAATAAAAATCTATTTTAGTTCCAATTGGTATTTGAGATGAACTTACTGAACTGTGCTAGAACAATCTTCAATGAGAGTATAAAAGGGCTGACGGCGTGAGAATAACCTGTATTTTGTAATATTAACGAGAGTTACGATGGTCGTACACAATGAAGAAGCAGAATCCTATAAAAACAAAGGCAATGAAGCTTTTAAGGCAGAAAAATATGAAGAAGCGATATCTTTATACAGTAAAGCAATCAACCTGGCAGAACAAGACAGTCGCGATTTAGCTACGTACAAAAAAAACCGAGCTGCTGCTTATCTCAAAACTAAAGATTATGACAAAGTAATTATGGATTGCGATGAAGCCTTAAAAATTGTGCCTGAAGATCCTAAAGCCTTGTTTCGCCGTTCACAAGCTCTCGAATGTTTAGAAAGGTATGAAGAGGCTTATAGAGATGCTAAAACAATATTCACAGTTGATCCAAATAATAAGGCTATTCAACCAGTTTTATCGCGCCTTCATGCCATCGTCCAGGAGAGAGCAAGACAGAATGCGCAAACAAGTACTAAAGTTGAACAGATGTTTAAACTAGCATTTGATGTCCGTGAAGATACTGAGAAGCGAGAAAAGGCTATGTCTAACCTGTTGGTTTTAGCTAAAGAGTCTGCTGGTGCAGATATTATGCTCAAAAATAATGTTATACATAAAATACAACAACTACTGAAAGTTGAGAAAAATAATGAAATATATGTTAATGCAATAAGATGTATTAGTCAACTATGTAAAAGAAATATTGAGAGAACTAGAGCAATACTAAAAATTGTTGGCATACCCTGGATTTTAGAGATGATTGATAATAATGAAGAGGAAAGAGTGAATGCTGCTCAATACTGCTTACAAGTTATATTAAACACCTTTTCCGGCATGGATACTAAAAAAGACACAAAACCAGACCAAAAACTATGTGAGGAAAACAAAAGTGAAATTGAAACTTTACTCACTTGCTTAACATATTCTATTACCAATAGGGTAATAACTGGCCTTGCTAGGGATGCTATCATGGAGATAATAATGAGAAATTGTCACTACACTGCTATAAATTGGGCTGAGAGATTTATAGAAATTAAGGGGCTGCAGCGATTACTTGAAGTTTGTAGTGAATTAGAGGAGTATAAGTATGAATCATCTATGAATATCACCCCTTCATCACGAACTATAGCAGCTGCTTGTTTGGCTAAAATTTATGAGAACATGTATTATGATGAAGCTAGGGAGCGCTTCAATAATCAAGTGGATGAGTTTGTGAAAGACAAACTAATGTCCCCAGATTTGGAATCAAAAGTAAGAGTCACTGTGGCTATCACCTCTTTACTAAGAGGCCCCCTTGATGTTGGGAATTATGTCATTTCCAAGGAAGGCATTTTAGAAATGATATTGGTCATGGCACAGACAGAAGACACCCTGCAACAGAAAGTTGCATGTGAGTGTTTGGTTGCAGCTGCATCTAAAAAGGATAAGGCCAGGACTATTATTAATAAGGGTGTTGACATTTTGAAGAAATTATATCAATGTAAAAATGATGCTGTAAGAGTAAGAGCATTGGTTGGTCTTTGTAAGGTTGGTAGTTTTGGGGGTGATGATGCATCTATAAGACCATTTGCTGATGGTTCAACTAAGAAACTTGCAGAAGCCTGTAAAAAATTCCTTGTTAATCCTGCCAAAGAAAATGATATTAGAAAATGGGCAGCCGAAGGTCTCTCTTACTTAACTTTAGATGCAGATGTCAAAGAAAAACTTGTTGAAGATAAACCTGCACTTCTATCCCTCATTGAACTAGCCAAAACTGGGGACCAGTCTTGTCTTTATGGTGTTGTAACAACACTAGTTAATCTGTGTAATGCTTATGAAAAACAAGAAGTTATGCCTGAAATGATGGAGTTAGCTAAGTTTGCCAAGCACCACATACCAGAACAACATGAGCTAGATGATCCTGACTTTATCAACAAACGAATAACAGTATTAGCTAAAGTTGGTGTAACAACAGGTTTGGTTGCCTTATCTAAGACAGAGAGTCATAACTCAAGAGAGCTGATTGCCAGAGTATTCAATGCCATTTGTGGCTTGCCTGAACTCAGAGGAATTGTTGTACAGCAAGGTGGTGCAAAGGTGTTGATACCAATGTCACTAGAAGGTACGAATAAAGGTAAGAAACAAGCAGCACAGGCTTTAGCTCGTATTGGTATTACTATTAATCCTGAAGTGGCATTCCCTGGTCAACGCAATTTGGAAGTTGTTAGACCTCTTTTGGCATTATTACATCCTGATTGCAGTGCTTTAGAAAACTTTGAAGCATTAATGGCTCTTTGTAATTTAGCTGGAATGAATGAATCTACTAGAAACAGGATTTTGAAAGAAGGTGGTCTGGCCAAAATTGAGCATTACTTGTATGAAGATCATGAGATGATACTCAGAGCTGCTACTCAATGTGTTTGCAATTTATTACAATCTGAGGAGGTTATCAAAACCTATGAAGGCAGTAATGATAAGACGAAATTTTTATATCTCTTATGTCAAGAAGAAGATCTTGATACAGTTATGGCAGCCGCTGGAGCTCTGTGTATATTAACATCAGCAAGCAAAATTTGCTGTAGAAAATTGTTAGATGTACAAGTGTGGCCTGAGACTTTAAGATGCTTATTGGCAAATCCCAATAAGGAAGTTCAATATAGAGGTACATATATGCTGTACAATATAATAACTTGTGATAAGGACATAGCAGCAAAAATATTCGAAACAGACATTATGGAAATTTTAATGGCTCTAACTAAACTAGATGATCCAGATCTAAAGAAAACAGTGGAAAATGCGCAAAAATGTTTGACTGCGGCTGAGGAATTGGGTGTTATAAGGAAACCTGATGCTTCACATATGGTAGATCCATTTCAAGAAGCAAATATTCATGAAGTGGATGAAGATGATAATGAAACATAACTTATAGATATTAACAACACACATAGGAATATTGTTATTTAAATAACTTAATGTTTAATATAAGAGTTGTCTAACAAGTCGTAAAAAAAAATTGTTGGTATAATTGTATTTTATAATATGATGCTGTATTAATAAAGTTTAAAAAAAGCTTTTTGTATTTTAAATTCGTAAATCATTTTTTTATTTACCTATCTACATTTAATGGAGATCCTAATATAAAACATTATGTATTCCCTTGTCTAATTTGATTTTCATAAGTCATTAGGAAAATCCAATCTCTAATTTTCTAATATATAAAATTCTCATGTCGCGGTGTTTGTTACCAAACTCCTCCGAAACGGCTGGACCGATTTTTAGGAAATTTTGTGTGCAAATCGGGTAGGTCTGAGAATCGACCAACATCTATTTGTCATACCCTAAATTATAATGTCGCTCTTTTAATTTTTTGATTTAGAATTGAAAAATACATACAACTTCAAAATTTTAAAATAAAAGAATTAATATATATGATATGGCAAAACAACGTTTGCCGGGTCAGCTAGTATAATTATAAATACCTACCCTAACTAAGAAAATTGTGTGACTGTTCCTGAAAAAAGATATAAAAAAAGCTTTATTTCATATTAGTGTAATAATAATAATGGTCAGATTAGGCTGCGCCATTAGTACTGGTCCCATAGAGGTGTCTATCTATTATATACTTATGTGTGTATACATACATACGTGTATATATAAAAGTATACATACAACATATAGCTATGCCTATGGCTTTAAATCGTGCATCTCTCTTTACAATGACTCTATCTCTCTCATACCCCGAACCGGAAAAGGTCATAGACTAGAGCGGAAGTAGGAGTAACCGGCCCTCTTGTAACCATTAAATTATCGAGTCGAAGTTTCCATTCTGGCAACATCTGATTGAAAATGGTTATTGTTAATTTAATAATAAAGTCGGGGTATCCAATGTTAACAATCGGTGATTACAATTATATAATTGCCGGGTAACGATAATAATTGAGTCTGATAGTTGTAGCAATCCATACTAATAAGTAATGTAAAAAGGTATTAATTTACGACATGAAAAAAAAAGCATTATTATTGATACAGTTTGAATTTTATTATTTTGGGAACGACAGTTATACTTAAAATTTGGCGAGATATGGATTTAAATTAAAATTTACCGCTTTCTTTTTTTTATTCACAATGGACTACCGCGTCCTTCCCCCACTGCAATCCCTCCCTTTCCCACCATTTTTAAGTAAAGGTTTTTTATTAGGTCAGGATGCCGCCATTTTCTGTTAGAGATCAAATACTGTTGAAACACTTTATTTATAAGTAGTGTGTATAGCAAGCATTTATACAGTTTATTTAAATCATTCAAAGGAAAATACTATCTAGGCATATTTTTTTTCATTTGTCGTGTAAAATTTAACGTTTTAAAATTCAGAAAAGAATTGGACACTCCAAGAACCTTTTAAAATGACAGCTTGATTTGGTTTGGTTTCCGCTACTGTGCTGTTGTGCTATTTTTTGGTTTTCGACACGAAAATCTTTAGAAATGTCGATTTCTACTGCTACAGGTATCTATCCCTTCATAGAGAATGTGCAGTCATATAAATCAGTAGTAAAATTTGTGTGTTTACCATCAAACCTGGTGGAGTTGTTTTTTCGGAGAAATGCCATGGAATCCCATATGGCGGTCCATACTACACATGATTTAGTGACGCTATTTCTTGGATAGTAGTGTTCCTTAATAATATCAACTTAATATTATTTTATTTAAATCGGTAAACACTGGGTTAATATTCAAGGAGTTGACATTAAGGTTACTACGATTTACTGGTCTTTCTGGCGTCTTCGTAATTGCCGGATACTCACAAGTGGCAAGAAAACTTAACTTTTAGTTATGTCACATTCCTACGTTATACTTTTAAAGCAATATTTTGCATTATGTCTTACTTCTCTTAAGAGTAGTTACCTCTATCTTAAGGAAACTTTCAGTTTTTCTAGAGTTGAAAATGTTTTTTAAGTTTAAAGTGAATCTTTTCAGATGAACGCACGGAAGGTGACGACGACACATCACAAGGAAGCCAGCCTAAAGATGAAAGCAGTGAATCTGATAATGAGAATGAGCCAGAGAGCCATAATGGTGGGTCACCTGCCCCCGAAGTACATGAGATTACTAGTGATGATGAGGACTGTGTGGTGACCAATGATGATGATGATGACTCATCGATTTCCAGTACAGACAGTAACGACAGTTCAGATGAATCACAAAATGATAAACCTAGTGAAGATAAAAAACTAGAAGAACAGCAATTAGAAAATGGTGCAGATGAATCTGATGTTGAAGAAGTGTCTATGGAGGATCCCCTAAATGAAACTCCAGCAAAGAATAAACCAATAGTTGTCAGTGATACCAAGGGCTTAGCCAATTTGGCCTCAAAACAGTCTAAGACTAATGGTGATCAAAATAGTGAACCTACTGTTGTTATTATTGATACAAATTCTATATTATCTGGTAAAGCACCAAAACTCATTCCAGCTAAACCTGCAGCAACAAGTGCTATTGATGCTCATGATTTGTGCCAAAGTATTGCAGCACGTGGCACGACTATTACACCGGTTAGTATTAAAACAAATACTAACAGTAGCAGCAATAGCAGTGCCAACACCAGCAGCAACAACAACAGCACCACAATCAGTAGTGTTAACAACAGCACTCCACCAACACCGCAACCAAACATACTACCTTCTCTCACAGATGACATGTTTGTAGTAGAAGCACCATCATTCATAGTCCCATATGTTTATGAAAAGCCTTCTGTGAAGCCTTTTCGGGAGTTTGTAGATAAATTAGGCAAGGAATTAGAGGAACTAAAAATTAAAGAAGAACAAGAAAAGCTTGAAAAAGAAAAGTTGGAAAAGGAGAGGAAAGAACAAGAGAAAAAAGACCGGATTGAGAGAGGTGAAATTGTGGAAGATGAAGACTTCAGTGAAAAAGAAGTCAAAAGTGCTGAGGAAGCAGCTAAAGAACAGAAAGCTCTTAAAAAACAACAGAAAAGGCGAAAACATGAAGAAGATGATGACTCTTGGGATGGAGAGTCTTCATCTGGATCTGATGATATCAGTGATGAGGATGCAGTTCTGATTAAAGACAGAGATGACACTATTGATGATCTTAAAGATCCCATTAGCTTAATTGCTAAAGGCCTTAGTGGTGGTAAATCTGACACATATTTTGACTGTTCTCTTGGACAATTTTTTATCAATATTGGACTAAACTTAGTGCAAGAATATGTTCAGACAGACTTACTGAAACATCAGAATCGTAAGCTATATAAAGAAAAGAAATCTGGACGAAGTACAAAGGCTACTGAGGCAGCCATAGCTTCTCTCACCCAAAACTTAGACTTTAGTAAGAAAACTAATGCTCCATTTGCTCTGGTACAAAAAAGATGTGAGTTTTGTAGTTTTAAGACAGAGTCCATGCTAGTTATGGCTCATCATTTAGAAGCTCCACATATGAAGAGTAATATCTACAAATGTAACTCTTGTGAGTTTGAAATAAGAAGCCCTCATGATATTTTATTTCACATGGAGGCAGAACACAATATCCGGGGCCGGTTGGAAAGAGCACCAGCATATCAACAATGTGCAAATTGTCACTTTGAAGATAACAGTAAAACTAAATTAGCACGCCATCTAATAGCATGTGCAAAGAAATTCAAACCAGATCTTAACTTGGCACCTCCATTGGAGTGGGAACCTCCAGCAAAGATACCTAAGCTAACACGAGCTCGTAATAATATGGTTGGACCTTATCAGACAAACTTTAATAGATCTCAAATGAATATGAACAATATGAACCGGCCCCAATTGAATATTAGTAATGTAATACCTAACATGCCAGTGCTTGGAAGACCTCGCGGCCGCCCTCCAATTACTGGGCCTCCACGTGCCACACCTGTTGCTGGATTACCAATAATCCGTAGTGGAGTTATGATTATGCATAATACTCCTGCTGTGGGTACAACTATTGCCAATTACCCCATGATACAAAACCAAAACAGTAATGCTACTCCTAAGATATCAATCACTCCACTCCCTAGGGCACCGCAGCCGTCATCATCCCAGGCAGCACAAAATTCCAAAGCTACATTTGTTATATGTGAAATCTGTGATGGTTATATAAAGGATCTTGAACAATTGAGGAATCACATGCAGTGGATACACAAGGTGAAGATTCATCCCAAGATGATCTACAACAGGCCACCATTAAATTGCCAGAAATGTCAGTTTAGATTTTTCACTGATCAGGGTCTAGAGAGGCATCTTCTGGGCTCTCATGGTTTAGTGACTAGTTCCATGCAAGAAGCAGCTAATAAGGGTAAAGACGCTGGGCGATGTCCAGTGTGCGGTAGAGTGTATCAGTGGAAGCTATTGAATCATGTTTCAAGGGACCATAATATGACTTTGAAACCAGCACACCTCTCATACAAGTGTACTGTCTGCACAGCAACATTTGGAATGTACAAACAATTTGAGAATCATGTGTACTCAGCTCATAGTGTTGTGGCAAAGAGAGTCATGGATAAAAGTAAGACACCTGCACCAGCAGCCAAGGTCCCTGATACGGATCCTTTGTTAAAACCATTAAAAATAAATGATGAGATTACTATTATTCCGCAGCCAGCAAAATCGACTGTTACTATTACTGCAAAAGGTAAATAACATTAATGTGGATGAGTGTGCAGTCTGTGCTGACACCATAGACATAATTTTGCTTTATCAGTGATGCACATCCATTTCAAGCAGTATTGTGTAAATAAACTTAAGATATAAACCTTATTAAAAATGATATTGAAAAGCCAGAGGTATGGTGGTAATTAACTAAAGAACATACTGAATATTAGCATTTCCAATAAAAGTTATAAATGTTAATTTCATGTACCTATAAAAACAAACGCAAAAATGTACCTATATATACTTATGAAAAATGTTGGCAATGTAGTACCTTCTGCTGTTTCTATTATAGTGTTTTCAGCAATCTCCCTGATCCTTTCGCTGTCACAAATTCTATTAAAGGTGTCACTATATTATATCATTGATCTGTAACTCCTTTGTGGTGGACTAAAGTAATGTGTTAGAACGAAGTTAATGATTGGAAACTTACAATATTTCTATAATTCTTATGTGCTCCAATAGTATTTATTTATTGCTGTCTCATTTTCTAATTAATTGTTGCATACGGTCAGCCTCTAGTTTAATTTATAAGTGAGTTAAGTTTCCAGGAATATTGTAAAAAATAATTTAGGTAGATACTTTCCATTATGAGTGTATAATATTATTAAATCAATAAATGATTGTAATGGTTAGTTAAGACTAGAATATGAATCGTAGACATTAAATTGTAAGTGAGTAAAATATTGAGTCGAAATAATCCCTTCCCTTAAATATATAAAACAGTGTAATCGGATACTAGCTGAACACACAACCAACGGTCTTATTTATTTCTGATCTCAGGTCAACAAGATGGAGTGTTGATTTGGTAAAAGTTTACTGAATTGTTGATGTACTTATAGAACTGAATAAAATGTATTTTTTTTATTTAATAAAAAGACCACTGTAATTTCAAAATGTTTATTATTTGATTCTTCATCCTATTAATAATAATATACTTTAAATACACTGTCTTGCGTGTGCTTCGTCCGATTTACTGAATTGAATAGCGCCAATATAAAAGACTAAAATATGCAAAACGTCTGGGCACCAGAAATATTACTATTAGTAAAGAAAGAGCTTTATTAATGCCAAATATATAACTTAAAGCAATTATTGTAATTTATTGGTATAATTTAGATTTAAACGAAAACATAATTTAATCATTTCTGAGAATGCTAGGTTAAGAAAACGATTGCACTCGTTTTTTGGTAGGTATAATGCCATTTTATAATATTCTCTTCTTTAATTTGAAATTGATAACTCAATTAATTTGACTAAAGTACTAAAATTTTATTAACTTTTAAACTTATGCTTGCCATAACATATTCTTTAGGACCTTAAACCGATTAGTTAAACATTCCCGAAGTAACTTATTAAGTCCTATTAGATTCATTGAAATAACAAAACGAATTTCTATCCATTAGCATCCGAAAGAATCTTTGCTTCTCTGATCATGGGCGCGCCGTTATCGCACCGGTTAGACCCGTTATGGAGGATTGGCTCGAGAGGCAACACGGAACCCTCTCATACCGGTTGACGCAGGTGATCACTGGGAAAGGATGCTTCGGAGATCACCTGTGTCTGACCCGCAAGGAGCCAACGCCTGAGTGCCACCACTGCGATAGCCGGACCGTGGACACGGCGCTCCACACATTGGCAGAATGATTGGCGTGGATGGATCAGTGGCGTTGCCTCGTGGCGGCCGTTGGAGTTGGAATTCTCTCGCTCGGTAACATGATTGCCGCCATGGTACGGAGCGAGAGTTCGTGGAACTCCACCTTCTCCTTCTTCGAGCAAGTTATGCTTGCAAAGGAGATGGCGGAGCAATACCGGGAGAGGTTTAGAACTCTCCCAGTGTGCCAGGCCCGGCAATGGGCCAGGTATGGCAGAAGACACAGGCGCCGGAGATCGCAGAATGACCTCAGTCCTCTATAAGCGCAGGCCTGGGGGTGGCCTTTCGGGAGCATAGGGGTTCCCACACAGGAGGAGGTCATTTACACGCCGTGGATGGCCCGAGGTACGTCGGGGTATCAGAGATTTTCTTCCTAGGGTACACCTGGTTCCCCGGCAACTGTCGGTTCGAGTCCGACATAACCACCGGTGGGTGGTATCCGAGGGGTTTCCGCACAGAAAAAAAGGGTTGTCTGATCAATCACGAGTATACATCTCATGATTGATCAGTAAGTACACAAAAAGTAAAAGTAATCAAAGTAAATTCATTTATTATTATAAGTTTTAGCTTTTGTTACTTAAACGTTTCATGTTGAAAAATTTTTAAAGACGAAACGTTTAAACTTAATAAAGGGTTTAAATCTAGAACATTGTTATAGTAAGCTTACAAGTTCTCATCAAAGTTAAGGTTTGTCGTCATCCGAGGCGCAAAGCAAAAGCTTTGTTGTGGAGATTGCCAGTACGAGTGCGTCGGCACTGAGTACCGTCAGTTCCATTCCAGTGGATTGGAAATGTATTCTGCCAGGCTGAAGCACGCTGGTCCCAGTAAGTCGGGATTGCATGTGGAGCGGGGTGCTGCGGTGAAGTCCCGAGAGTTGGGGTTGTTGCCGCGTAGTGGCTGTCTGCTATGCTCTTCTGACATGGATCGTGTGTGCAGTTTGCTGTGCCTAGACGCTGATGAGGAGGCCGTCGGGGTACCCAAGCATGAGCGGTCGCTCCTGGCACGTGTTATCCTTGTTAAGGCCAAGGTTGCTGGTTGGCTGAGACTTGAATACTAGTCATTGCTATGGGGTACACAATGGGGGCGTTGATGCTGGTGCTGATCTTCTTCTTTGTAGGCTACTTCCAATTACGTAGGGGTTCGTGTCCTTGTTGGATGGAACTGACTGAGGTATGTTTTTGTTTTATTGTATTTGGAAGCCGCCACACAGTATGACATTATATTTTTTCAACATTTATTTAATTGTCATCTGTTTCGTGATCAATAACACTCATCAAACGGATTTGAAACTCATTGCAATGTTCTCTCTGTGATCTAATACTGTTGCGAGTGTAATTTCCTTTCAATGATAAAATATAATCATGTTTTAAATAAAGTTGCTAAATTTACGACAACTACTTTCTGTAGAATAAACTTGCAATTGTATGCTAATCCTGAACTTGCTATCTCTAATTGAACAGGCGTTTTACGAACACCTATCCGCCAAAAAAAGGTAGCCTAGCCCTTAACAGTGTAGCATAGGACTCCAGTTTAGTGCTAAGGGGGTTCAAAATAAACAAAATAATAAGGTACTCAAACTGTCTCCAGAAATATTCTCCGTCACATGATCTATACATATAATCTCGTTAATTGCCACAAATATGCCTTCATAAAGTGCATCGTACATGCATAGAGTTTATTCAAATTTATACAATACTTTACTCAAGAATGATGTATGCGACACAGAGTCTTATGCTCCCTAAACCGACTTCAAAAAAGTAGGCAGTTGATTTGAATGAAATCGTCGGCTGCACGCACTAAAAAGCATGACTCATTGTCACGTTCCGCCTGAGCATAAATGCCTGCAACTCAGGAGTCACAAACGCGCTGCCAATCTTTATAAGAAGAATACGCTCTTTTCTTGAAGGTTTGAAGGTCATATCGGTATGGAAATACCGCAGACGATAACTTGTTCCACAGATTAGTTTTGCGAGGCAAAAAGTTTGAAGAAAATGTTCCACGTTTAGGTAATAGTTTAAAATTAAAAGATAAAGAATATAACAAGTTAAGTTGATTATTATAGTTTGTATAACACATCGCCTGATCTCATTGGTGACAGCTAAGATATTGGTTAGTCGTGTTAAATATAAGGAGCTCAGATACATACTTACATCATTTCTGAGAGTATTATATGGTATAATTGATTTTTCAGTAAAGTATACGAGATATTGTAGATAGTTAGATTGTTTATGGATGTACTGTGATTGTACTCGCCTATGTGAACTGGTAATGCATTACATTCCAATCGCACAGCTTGAACCGCAAGAGAATAATCGTACATTTTTTGGAATGCAAAATCTCTTAATATTCAGTCTCAAGTCTTCAGATGACCCTAGACATTTTCCTTGTGTGTAATAAAGGAACTTAAGACGGCGGATTGGAAGCCATTTGACCGTTTGACGAAATTCAGAAACTTGACCATATTTTTTTTTTCATCTACCATTTTTTATATACCATACCATACCATTTTATCATAATAATATACCTATTACCTACATAAAAATTTGGTCTCAAGATTATCAATTTGTACTTCAGTGAAAGTCAGATAACTGACATCGACTTAGTCGCAAATTGGACGAAGAATTGCTCGATCGCAACTAAGCGAAAACTTCCTAAAGTTGCGCTATTTTCAATGAAGTGCTACTAAAAGTTGAATATCAATAACAACTATCAATATATAAATCCAAAATTGGTTGACAATGTTTAAAAATAAAACTAATTATTTAATTATTTATTGAGATTTATTGATATAGTACAGAAAATGAAGAAAAGATTATTATCAATTTATTTTACTATCCCTTGTGAAAAATGAGATTTTTTTCATCCGTTAATCGCGTGATTGAAACTAATCAGAAAACTTAAAACGTATTAAAATTGAGTGTGAGGTGTCAAAGAGAACCGATTCGCTATGATACCGTTACACAAAGTAGGTATGGAACCAAATGCAATTTTTGAAATTCTAAAACCCTATTAGGTCCCAGTGAACACATCACGTCATAAATAGGTAAGTAATTGACATATCATAGAATTTTTTCATAGATATGACATACAAATAACCTTATTCCTCAGGGAAGTGTGCTAGGGTCAACACTTTTTCTTATTTATATAAATAATCTTTGCAAAATGGCCCTACCACACTGTAGGATCATAACTTACGCTGATGACACGGTTTTACTAATAAATGGCACAGACTGGACGCACGCCAAAATTAATGCAGAGACAGCGTTATGTGCGGTAACCCATTGGCTTGCTCATGACCTTTTGACGCTCAACGTTGAAAATACTAAATTTATGACCT